AAATTTATTATAATTAAGTATACATAAAAGGGGTAGGCAGTCCCTTGATAACTCATGCATGTGTTTCAAAACTATTTATGTACATTTTATTAATCTTTGTTGTCTACCAGATGTAGGACCATCAAGTAAAGTAGTATTAAGTCTTTAAGACAAAAATGTGAGTCATTAAAGCGTTGCCTTGACTATGCAAAGCACTGTTATCTCAAAAAGGCCACAAAAGGGCCATTTCTGTAGAAATGTTTGTCAGCACAAGTAAATAAAGAACAGCATGTGGGTCAGACTGAAACGTTTCTTCTGTGACTGGTTGTTTTTTTCAGAATTGAGTCGACTTCATTAAGCAAATCTGCCAAAACCCCCTAAATAATTAAGTCAGCCTAGCAGTCATTCTGTTCGATTCTAGATGATTTCTTAGGAAATCCTACTTAGGCAGTCAGCTTGCCGTTCCATATTGGTTGATTTTATATGAGCGGTAAGTTTTGGCAGGTAAAATCGATCCAAGTGTGATTAAATTCACGGCGAAAGTCGTGGCGTTTGTAGCTCAAGTGGTAGAGCGTTGGCTGCGTAAAGGCCTTCCCTGCTATACGGGTTCGACTCCCACCACGAGTTTTTTCACAATCGGTTTAACTTAATGTACCATAAAATTTATCGCGAAGTGTAACAGGCAGCCAAAAAGAATCCCAAAAAGGCCAGTTATGGTGTATTTGCCATTATTATTATTTAATTCTACCCTTTACTGTAGTTGGCCAAACACAGAGCTGTTAGTAGAAAAATATGCACCCTGAGCAGCAAGTTGAACGCTCAACTGTCCAGTCGAGGTCTCTGCGTCTGTTAATTACGTAGGACCCGTGAAGAAACGAGGTCCAAGGGAAAGCAAAATCGTACACACGGAGACCTTACTCTGAACAGACGGCCAACTTTGACTTAAGGGTATGAGTTTTTCTTTAAGTAGATAATCTCTTTAAATACAAATGCAAGTACTGTGTCATTTTTCCGTTTTCAAGCAAACTCTTGTAATGTTGGAAATGCTGATTTATTTTTGTATTAACCTTTTTTAGGCTGCCGATTATTCTAAAGATGATTCGACAAGACTGTTTTAGGGCCGCTTTAACATCGATTTCCTCCGCCTCACTCTCTTGCGGAATTGGTGGTTAAACATT